AGTTATAAGAATTCTAATAAAGATTATGAAAAGACATAGTCAACGTCACTTTTGGTAATAAGTCTCAAAGTTTTTTGAATCTTTTCTAAAGCTTTATACTAAAAGTGAAGATCAGGTGACGCTACATATATATAGCATATATAGGGTAGGGGTATACAAAATGCGTTACTAGGCACGTGTATACGTATATAATACATATAATGTATATAAATATATACATGATTTATTATAATATTATTACACAATTCAATTGTTTAATCACTAATAACTCTTGAAACGTTTTTAACAAAATACTTTCAAGACAATGATGACGCTTGGTTGTTTGCTGAGTGTTCGCCTAACATTAACTGGTCTTCGGTTGTGGACGGAACTGTTCGGAAACCTTCGTGAAAATATACTAATAAAATTTTGTAAAAATTCAAACTGCTTACCATTTCAGAGCGTGTTAGTATTGAAAATAATACAGTATCTAAAATTTTTTTACATTTAATAGTATTCAAAATAGTGGGTTTACAAATAAAAATATCAGAATGTATTATAAATAAGTTCCATATTCTCGTATTTGCAATTGTCTTAACATCAAATGATATTCTTTCTAAACTTTTATACTAACTTCTGTTCCCTAAAAATTACAATAATAGATAAAAAAAATAACACTACTTATTATTATAATAAGAACTATCATCGTACCTCGATTATCCCTAAATTCTTACGTAGTTTTATTAGAAATATCGAAATACAACAAAGTAATTTTTGTAACTAAAAGTCTCTCCGTGCATGTATTTTTGGACCACCCTAGTGCTCACCGCCATATTGTCTCTCACTTTCGCCAAAAATCCAACTTTTGTAATTCCTTTTTCAATATTTATTTCAAAAATTACTTGCAATTTTCGAGAATATTCTTTATCATCATGAATTCCCCTAATTATCATGATAAATCCGAACTAAATATCTCTAATTATTTAGGAGTGAGACGACACGCAGGAAAACACTTTTTGGGCTCGATTTTTTCCGGATGCCCTTAATTAAGAATAAAAACTTAATTCTTTTGGTTATATAAATTGTTTGATTAAAAATCCAAAATAATATTTATTTATAACGTGACTATTTATTATATGTTTATAAACTTTTTGTCAAATTTAAAAATATTAATTGTATTTTCAATAATACAGTGTTTTAAGTCGGTTATTGTTCAATAATAAAAACATTTATAAAGATTTAAGATTAATCTAGAAAAAAAATTATAATTTTTTTATTGGAATTAAATGACTCATAATTTATTATTGTACAAAATTATGGCTATGTGGATTCTAAAATTTAAAAAATTTATATGACTAAAAACAATACATTTTTTCCATTTTGATATTTTTTATTAGTAAATTACTAAAAAATGTTTACGTTTCATTCTTAAAAATTAGATGGCTAATAAAAAGTTATTGATAGTTTTTTAAAAAATAATGAGAAAGAAGGTGTCAATTTTACTTCTCAAAATTATGAGCCTGTTATTAAAAAACAAATTCTTATGAAAGATCTCCTTTAAGTATTATTAACAATTACATTTCATTATGTGCAAAATGTTATACTAGACTACGAAGCCTGTAGAGGGCAGAAGCATGCAGCGTGCGTAAAGGATCAGCTGTCAAAATGAATCGCATTACATTGCTATGGTAATTCCAATCCTGCAACCGCGTTTCTACAGGAATTGACAAAATCTTTTGTAATTTTAGAAAAATGGGAAAAAATTGCATATTTTATCTTTCCTACTATAATTATTTATTTTCTGCTTTTTTATTTTTTATATTCTATTAAATATACTAATAATTGTCATTGAAATTGATTAAATTAAAAAAAGGTTAATTTCAATATACAATTTTTAGAATTGCTTTAAATAAAATTCATCTTGAAAGTTGGTTTTCCTATTTCTTGTTTTGAATGTGGATAAAACAGAGGAGTTCGAATGTCAGTCCCGCCATCTGTCGTGACAAATGCGCGGCGATATATCAAGTAGTATATTATCATCGCTTTACACACACACACGCATACATCTCACGGTAGAACTGACATCTCCAACTTTAAACATTAATTATTCAATAAGTAAACATTAATTTGCCCTAAATATGTAATAAATAAATGCTTTAATGATTACTTTTGTTAAATTAAATATGTTTTCCTAATTTTTTCTTTTCATTATTTACTAAATATGCTATTTAAAACCCACTATATTCACTGGAAACTACTTTAATCTACACTGAAAAACTGTTGGTAGAGCAGTTCCGCTATTGACTGTTGTGCAGCGCTACTTAACTTTAAACTCACAGCTCTATCAAAATTAGGCGAGTTGCTCTCCTAAACTTGACTACCAATGGCGTTGGCGAGCGGCTGCTTGACAAAAAGGTCAGCAGCTCTATCAAAAAGGAGAGTTGCTCGCCCAAAAAGGAGAGTAACTCGCCCAAAAATAAAGTGAGCTGTGCGTTAAGCGTTTCTTTTTAACGCAGCAGTTCACCGCATTGGGCGAACAGCTCTACCAACAGTTTTTCAGTGTATATTTAAATATTTACCAATATTCTTTTACCTTAACTCAAAATATATAATTTCCACACTGAGAAAACTGGAGTATTGGACTAAACATCTGGAGGGACAAATGTTGATATTTGAGAGTTAGCTATTGGATAACAATCTAAATGTTCAAATACACCATTGACAGATATTCGTGCCATTTCTCTTGGAGGGAAAATGAGTTTATAACAGAGGGACAAATTAACCATCTTGAGAAATCCCTTCCTTATCCGGCGCGAAATGAATAAATATGGCAGCCTAACCCCTAAATTAAATACATAAAATGTCAGAAAAATAATTTCGCGCGCATCAGATCGTACACATTTTCTGCGCAACTTTTAACCCTCAGATATAATGGGAGAGAATATACAAGTAGATTTCCATTATCAATTCAAAATTTATTTTAGAAGGACTATTTAACTCTCTTCATAAGCAAAGGAAACATACACTTTTTGAACCTCCGAATTTGACACTCCACTTTTCTCAGTGCATATTTGATATTTTAATTTAAATACAACATACGGGCAATTTCACGTGAGATTTAAGTCGACCTCTTAAAATCGGTTAAAAATATTTTTTTTCTATTCTGTATCGAAAAAAAACAGATACGTATTTTTTTATTTATGTTTAATTGTCCAAATTTTCAAGTTATGAATTTTCGAAAATTTGGACTTTTAATTGTAGACCTATATTCAGTAGCTTATAAGTCAGAAAATATTGAGTTTAGGAAACAGTTGTCAAAGAATGAAAGTTTTAGTTTTCTTTCGACTTTTAAGAAATGTAAACAAAAAATTTTTTTTATAAACAAATTAATTTTTTTTAACTTTAGGCCGGATTTTTTTTTATTTTTTTGTACCTTATAATATAGAGAAGATTTTCCAAAAAGTCCCGAAATGGGCCTGATGTGTTAAATGAGTTTTAAAATATTTTCAAAAATCAATTGCAATTTGGACTTTTTGGAAAATCTTCTCTATATTATAAGGTACAAGAAAATATAAAAAAAAATAAAAAAAAATCCGGCCCAAAGTTAAAAAAAATTAATTTGTTTATAAAAAAAATTTTTTTTTTAATAAAAAATTAAAAAAAAAAATTTTTTGTTTACATTTCTTAAAAGTCGAAAGAAAACTAAAACTTTCATTTTTTGACAACTTTTTTCTAAACTCAATATTTTCGGACTTATAAGCTACTGAATATAGGTCTACAATTAAAAGTCCAAATTTTCGAAAATTCATAACTCGAAAATTTGGACAATTAAACATAAATAAAAAAATACGCATTTGTTTTTTTTCGATACAGAATAGAAAAAAAATATTTTTGGCCGATTTTAAGAGGTCGACTTAAATCTCACGTGGAATTGCCCATACATACTGATAATTGTTAAAATAAAAATGTCTTTGAAAGTCTGTTCACGGTTACGGTAATTACTAAAGTGTTGTTAAATGACTATAAAGATTTTACTTTTTATTAAAAATTTAACACAAAATTAAAGAAAAAACATGACACTTCTCAAATCTTTATTGGAAAAGCAAACAAACCGTATATTTATTTTATACGAACCTAAAAACGTTAAAAAACACAGCGTATTTTTATTAGTATCAATTACCGTAACTCATGATAATTTTCATATTTTAACAAAAATAATCGCCAACTACCGGTCAAAAGTTAAAGAACAGATTTATAAACATACATACAAACCCAATATTTAATTGCTTTTGTGTAAAATTTTTAGTACGATGTTTTGTACAATTTTCAATTACCGTAACATCAATTACCGTAACACAGAGATTTAGTATAGCAGGTGTTTAACCAAAAAGTTGAATCAGTGACTGGAAAAATTGTTTAAATTAACATTAAAATTGAATTTTTGAGAATATTTTATTTATTCGCTTGTTTAAAAAATTAAAAAATCAATTGAAATTGTTTTATTAATAATAAATATGATAACAAAAAACCATGCAGAGCCCTGAAATGTTACACGCCTGAATCGTAATAGAGGTTAAAAGTTTGACAGCTAAATCAGAAGTTTGTTTGCATTTAATTATTATTCTATATGATACTTAACCATTAAAAGTTGTAATTAAATAATGAAATCTAGAAAAGAAGAACTTATAAAAAAAGAAAAAAGAGCAAAAGCGCAGAGAGAAAGGCGGAAGAGAATTAAAGAAAATCCATTTGAAAAAGCCAAAGCTAAAATTCAAGATCATTTGAGGTTAAGATTTTAATTTTTACTTTAAACTTTGAAGCTATTTATATTAACAAACAAGTAATTTATTGTGTGAATGAAATAGATAAGTCAATTAAAAATAAGAACCTGGATGGCAGAACCATCTTAGCGTTAGGATAAATAAATAATAAATAAATGTAGAGTGCTAAGACTGTTTTGCGATCCAAATATTCAATACTTTCTATCATATTCTTTATTAATATATTTTTTTGAAAATTAGGTATGAAAAAGCTGAGGAAAACGGAAGAGTGTTGTTCGTGAAGGATTTAAATAAAAAAGAGTCAGCGGATCGGAGGAAAAAGTCAAGAGCAAATTACAAGCTACGTCAACAAAAAAGATTAAATCAGACAAATAATGCAGAAACTTCGTCAAACTTTGATCAAGAAAATTTAATAAATCTTGATTCTATGTGTTCGAATCAAAATAACAAAACAAGTTTAGAGTCAATTAAAAATTTTGAAGAATTTACAACTAAAGAAAGTAAACAAAAAAAGGTGGGCAGAAAAAAAGTTGTACGTGGTAGAAGTAAAACAGTCAGAGATTTAGAGAAAGCGAAAATAGAAATTAAAAGTTTAAATAAAGAAAATCAGAAATATAACCCAGCAAACACGTTATATAAGTATTCTATAACAGTGAGGTTACAGTGTTATAGAACATTTGTTCCTAACTAGTTATAGATCTGTGATAGAACCTGATTGTAACAGAGTTCTAGAACATAGTTACAAGTTAGTTACAGAATAGTTCTGTATTATGCTTATGTCACAGTTCTATCACAATGTGATGTAAGAGTTACATAACTTTAATGTCGCAAATTTTCTGTAACTGTTGTTCCAACCTTGTTCTATAACTGTGTATGAACATTGTTGTGTAATTGGTCTAAACATCTGTTGCAATGCAGTTCTGTAATATACAGTTTAACATTGTCCGAACAATGTTAAACTCTTCTAACAAATTTGGTGTAGTTCATATTATTTTTAATATAATATAATATAATTCGTAATAATTTATAAAAAATACCTATATGGGTGATTCTTCATTAAGTGGTCACTTTTGCTTCCCCTCCGTTTCCTATTTAATAACTTAAAAAATTGTTATCTAACCCTTAAACCGCACCCTGGGTGTGCGACACCCATATTCTAGCTTTTTACTCTAATATTTCGGTTAAATTCGTAAAAATTGAACATGTGTCGTTATTGGACAATACATTTTGTACTTAAGTTTATGTTCCGTGAGGGACATTAGTCTCCCAAGTGTCTTTGTGTATTTGATAACTTTATGAAGTTGTCGGCGAAAAATTTCTGCTTGTTTGACACCCAGTTTTTGGTTTAGGGTAATTTCAGTAGTTTTAAAAAACTCTTTTTTAATTATTAAAATTAAATAAATCATTATGAAACTTATTTTCCTTCAAAATAGATGTACTGAGCTATATAAGATAATTTTTCCAAAAGATAATATCCTATTCCAGCTTGGAGAACACACTTAAAAGTCCCCGGGTGTCGCACACCCAGTGTGCGGTTTAAGGATGGATTCGGCAGTGTGCGGTTTAAGGGCTAATCTACTTCAAACTTTTGCATAATTAATCTTCAATATGTTTTTTAGTAATATCATAATCGAAAAAATTTTTTTAATTAAAACAAAAGTTGTAATTCAATTGCAAATGTTCAAAAAATGCACATTTGTCGTTTCTCCACACATGAATCATGAAGTTTAATATGTTTTATTTTGCACAAACTTTATTTTAAACGTTTTTTTATTTATTCTATTCGAAAGTTCATCTCAAAAACTAAGTTTTAGTGTGTCGTTTTCTAATTTCCATTAAAAAATCTGTGTAAAAATATTTTTTTAATATTTTCCCCAATCTTTTTTTATTTAGAACTGGAGTTTACAATTTCATTGATTTTCATTAATTTTATTCCCTTTTTTAGTGCGATTTTATTTGCCATTAATATTATTAAGTTAATAAGTTGTATTTATGTTAAATTTGCAAAAAGAAATATAATTTTTAGATTTAAAACTACAAAAGTTACTATTATTTTATAGCGTATTTTAATGGTATGTAACTCCATACCCGACAAAATTGCCGAATTCTAAATGTATAAAAAAAAATAAAAATAATAGTGATTTAGAGTAAGCAAATCTCTTTAATAATCTGCAAAAATTGTTTATTTTTATGAATTTTTACGGTTTCAATGAATTCCTAATTTCGTTTCGCGTAATGGAAGTGTTTTGTTTTCTTGAATAAATATTATTAACCTCGATTAACCTGTATCAAAACAAGTAATTTCAATAACAGGTATGAGTAAAAATATTATTTATTTATTTATTAAAGCAGTTTAAAGTAATTATTTGCTTATTTACACTATTTATAATTATTCACAGTCGAAAATTAACTTTTTCAAATAAATTATTTAACCTTTAAATTACAAATTTTTAAATTGTTTGTATATAAAACTAAAGAAAGAATTAAACTCAAATATCTATAAAATAATCATTTTCAAGCTTTATTAAAAAGATCTAAATAAAAAATTTCCAAAAAATTTAATTAAAAAGAAAATTTTAACATATTCAAAAGTTACCACTTTGTGGAGAATCACTCATATAGTAATTATTGACAACAAATTGCTTTCTTATTTCTTTTATACTACTATGAGTAGCATTTTTTACTCTATCTTTAAATTTTCTTCAGTTTTATTATTCTTCTAGTGACTATTTAAACAATATTATTATGTATAAAAGTCTCATAAATGTTTTAAAGGTGCATGTAATGTAATCGAGAATGTAATTATTCGTTAATTGTTTGACATTATTATTATTCGTAATAGCAAATTTTTTTGATAAATTAATTTCACAAAGAATTTTGTAAAATCTATTTATATTTAAATGAAAAATTATAGAATATAAATTTGTTATAAAAATGTAGAAATTTCATTAATTAAGCTTAAATTTATTGCTTTAATCTTTCATTTAAAAAGTAATTTTTAAGCCTTTCCTTATGTTTGTAACTTTGAAAATTTACATTTTTCAATTAACATTATTAAATATGATGTATATTATACATAACATAATTATACTATTGTTGCAAATACAGTATCCTTTTTCAAGTTACAAAGCACATTTTCATAGTTCCTTCGTTATATATGTAAATTCTAAACTTCCTTTCATGAGCCTCCGTGACGCAGTTGGTAGAGCGTTTGATTTATAATCCACTCCTAGCTGCGTCTTGCGTTCGAGACCTCGTGGTTGTAAATATTTAAATAAATAGCAAAACAAATTTTCTTCGACATGTATAAATATTCCGGGTATGTATGACATGCGAGAACAGCGTGGAATATTTTTTTAATTTTAATTAAAATATTTTTTAATGACAGATATTGTTATGTTTGAATTCGATTGTTTATAATTTAATTATTATTAATTTAAAAGATTTTATAATTTTATCGAATTCGGACTTAACTGTATTAAAAAGAATTTTTAATAGTTTTAAATCAATAAAACGCTCAGTATTTTATAGTAAGAAAAATGGATGTTAAATTAACTTCAAATAAATACTGTAATTAAAAATTTAGGATCCCCCCTTTAAGTACGTTATCAGTTCAACGTCTCCGATTAGACGGTATTTAAGGTTTATGAAAGAATATTAAAAGATGGGTGGAAATAGGTTATAAGACACAAATAATTACTCTAAAATATTAATGACATAATCTAGGTTATTTTATTTAAAACATAAGAATAAAGTAGCAATAACAAGAAAAATACAGTAATAGTTACAATAAAATTATCCCTTGAAAATAATGTATATATATATATATATATATATATATATATTCAGTATTAAGAATTATTAAAATTGCCCCCTTTAAGAATACAATAAACGATGTAAATTCTTTAACTTTCGTAACATGAACACTTTTATTAAACAAAGAAAATTACTATATTAACATTAATTTCACCTTGTATGTGTGTGTGTGTATGTGTCATGAAAATTTATAAATGTGGAATTATTATATAGTTTACTCACCAATTGTAATTTACAATGAATTAATTTCTTTTTAGTACGAGAAAAATATTTTTCTCCTTTTTTATTATATAGGGTAATATCGACACTTATGGATGATATCCCGTTTTTAATTTCAATTATGCTCTTATCAATATTTTATACTTTTTACTCTTTATAAAAACGTAATTTCGTTTTCTTTATTTTTTTAAAATTAAATTTGTACTCTCTGATTGGTCTAAATCTGAGACAATATTCAAAAATAATATTTGTAATGCTTAAAATTCGGGATCACCGTATTTAAACATTTATCTTATTTTCTGAATAAATTCCAGAATTTAAAGAGACTGAGAGTAAAAGGTCTTAGATCTCAAATACAAGGCTTGAATTTCAATATCTTGTATTCGTTTTTTTTAATATATTATGACATTAACTGAACTTCACTTTGAGATTTTAATTAAATCACTCAGAAAAACACTATAGCTTATAGCTAAATGAATTTTACTTTCTTATTATTTTCTTTTATTTTAAAATCACTCTTTTAAATATTCACTTTTTTAATATTTTACTTCTTTACTTGTTTTTTTTTTGTATATTTTAATATATTCTTTTTTATTTGATTCCTTTTCTTTAAATAATCTTGTTAAATAACAATATCAGAATTCTATAAATCTATCTTTTTAAGAAAACACTCACTTCAATATTTTAATTTCAACCCTTGTCTTTGGGGATAAGAAAAATAATCTACTTCCGCCTTTTGCGGGAAAAGAAAAAATAAGGATATAGTAAACGTCCGCTCTGCGGGAAATACTCAATATAAACTAAATCAAACGTCCGTCTTGCGGGAAATGATTATTAGGACTCTCCGATTAATCCAAAAAGGAAATCGTTCACACCTTAGAATTTGACTCAATTTTTGTAGGTGGGAGAAACTTATGCACACGGCCCGCCAATGCTTTATTGTTACTAAGGAAGCTTTTTGCAAGCTTGCAAATTCCTTGGTAAATGGCGTGATACAGTTCGTTGTTCTCTATTGGATTTTGCACGTGTGTATATGTATTCTCCTTTATTAGTAATTTTTTATAAGTACTTTAAAGAGTCTTGGTGTAAGTGGCTACTTTTGCAGAATTGACGAATTCCCGAGACGGTCGCTACATTTCCTTAAATGATTTCTTTTCATATTCTTTTTATCGAGACGATAATTTAGTAATTTTAAATACTAAAAGAAAATTTAAAATAACTATTTCTTTTTTATGGATTTTCTCTATGGTTTGTAATAACAAATTGATGAGTAATATATATATATATATATTAATCCTTAGCATTTATTTTATGCTTGTTTAGTGTAAGGTGTACTTAATTTTAATTAACAAGTTTACCATTTTAGATTCTATATAATCTTAATAAAATTTAAAAAAAATTAAAATAGTTACGTTTCGAACGTAACAGATATGAGTAACAGAAATTTGTAACTGTTCTAGAACTGTGACAAGTATCTTCGTCACCATGTTACAGATCTGTTACTTAACTGTGACAACCTTCTGACTACGACATTTTGCGTACCCAGTGAGTTCCCTGTGAGTCACCAGTTACATCACAGGTTCTTCAATTATTTGTCACAGTTCTGTAACAGATCTGTAACAGTGTTTGCTGGGAAGCGTTTAGTTTGAAAATTATCTAAAAGAGTCACAAGAATAAAAGATAAAATACCACTTTCTCCGAAGTCAAAGGTTAGAAGGGATTTAAAAAATAAAAAAATTGACAAAAATGTACCCACACAGCACATGATATTTCCTAAATATTTCCTGAATATTTCACTGAAAGATTGAAATATTTCAGTGCAAGGTCCTTGAAATATTTCTGAAAACAGGAAAATGTCCGCCTATGTGGAAACATTGACGCAAAAGTTGAGAATATATTTCATTGAAATATTTTGGAAATATTCAACTGAAATGATGCGCACTGGTCGAACTCGCAGTTTCTATGGCCTGTAGAGCTGCGCAGTAGTTTTTGGCTTACTATATCCTATGGGTTTTAAAATATTTCAGAAAATTCCTATTGGTTTCAGGTGTTTAACAA